ACTCATTAAAATGACATACTGGCATGCTCAATGTCAAAGTACATACAACTCTAATTGCACTGCAGTGTGGTACCTTCTTTCTCCCACTCCCACTTATATAGTTATATATATATACCTATTCAGTATTCACCCATCTAAAATCTGAGAAATTCAATTATTATTTTCAGTTCAATATATTTAAATATTATGAATATAAAAACTGTAAATATTTAGTGTACCTACTATACAATAAGTACCGAAGTGCCTACCTAAATGCTTCAATAACTGTGTGCCTATAATACTTATTCTACTTACAACTTACGCACGTGCTCGATACAATATAATATAGTATTAACTGTAATAATAGAAAATAATTATCTAATAAAATTAAAATTGTAAATTTAACTATCAAACTTATTTAGCATTTTGGTTAAATAAATATTTAAAAAATAAGGTATCAGCTGTAATCTGTTTTTATAGTTTGATGGTGACTGGCGAATCACTTGCTCGTTCTATATAACGGCGGCATAATACAGCGAATGATTGGGTAATCGATCATGTTGGGTTATATATGTTTGTAACCAAATGCTGAACTGCATGTACACGGGTGATAATCAGAAAATCAGAAACATAATAGGCATATTATTACAATATTTTAATATGCTTAAACAGGCGCTACTTTTGAGGTTAAAAATGAAGCGACCGAATAATGAAATACGAATCGAATAGGTACTAGGCCTAATGCTATTGTATTAAAAAAAATWAAAAAAATACACACTGGTTCACATTTAGGTGCAGCGTATTATATTATTGTAACTTGTTTAAGTACAAGGAATACTGCCGATACATATCGTTTTGACGAAGTGAACGGAACTTGTGAACTAGAGCAAATTATAACACAATATACCTATCGTTGTTTCAGTATAGTTGACCAATGATAATATTTCAATTGCCGCGTGTGTTCAATAACTCTCATGTTTAAAATAATATGAACATTATGAACTGTCGGTTTTAAATATTGAAAAGTTTCAGATATCGTACTGGCTATGCTGGTCGATTTATAACGAATTAATATAGCCTTGGTTTAGTAATGATAATTAATRAACTGCTGTTGGATCGTTAATTGGGTCAGAAATATTTTCTGCGCGCACTGTGTATACACACCACACACACACACACAATAATAATATAATATCAATCGAAAAACCAAGTGGTGCTGGTTTGCCACTCTATTGTATAAAATAATATACTATAATTTGGGTACGTCATATTACATATTATTGTGTGTTCGGCGGCGTTGATAAACGTATATAATATGTAGTTCCAGTGTAATGGCATTGGATATCCGGTAATGGTTCTATTGTGTTATCTGCCTGGTGCGCTGATAACGAAGATATATGTATATGTATTTGTATATATATATATTATAAAATATTATATTGTAACCGCATAGATATATATATAAACAATATATTATATGTCTATGTTTGTAATTTATAAGTTGTCGAGACGATTATGTAATATATGAAACAGAAACGACGAAATTCCCACGGAGCACTAGGCCACATTACATACTATATTGTAGTCGCCACAGTGTACACGTGAAAGGAAGTACCTACCCATATATATATATTTTTTTTTTTATATTTATTCTGTATAGTGTCAAAATTATTAAAAACGTAGCCGTCATTCATCATCATCGCGTCTTTAAAAAGTGTTTCGGATGTGCTTCGGTGACGTTTCCATTCGACCTTGATTTTGGTTTAAATATTTTTTTTTGCTAATATTATTAACCTTGAACAAGTTTTCTTCTCCCGATCACAACATTAATCACAACAAAAATACAAGTTTTTGCGATACTCTTCATATTACATAATGATACAATATTCTTGTCAGGCGGTTCTAGTAATGATAAATTCAAATAAATACAGAAAACACAAACTTAAAAGATGATATTTTAAATTACAACATTATGATGTAGTATTTTAAATARAAAACTGATATTAGTGAAAAGAAGCAAACCAGGCTAAATCTATTTTTGGACAAGTTGTGGAATCGAGTTTACGACCTTGACTGAACCTGAAAATAAATATTTATGCTATGGAATCTTACGACATTATTCAAAATGCCGACAAATGTAATGCTGGTTACCTACCCCAAGTCACTTTTTTTTATTAATTAATTTTATGAAAATGTTCATAATGGAAAGTGGGTCGGAAGTATATTTCCAAATCCCAATCATTTTGCTAGATGCTAGTGCTAGAATTTCTATAATTTGTAGAATTTTTAAAATAAGCTATATAAATGTACATTAAATGTTGGCCCTTCTTTTAATATTTAAAAAATATGAATTTTAATACATTAATATAATAATACTTATTGGCCAACTTTTGAAATAACATTATTTTATCATAAATACTTAAACCGTTGTTTAAGTCATATTCTTATTTCTTAAATGTAAAGTAAATATGCTTAATAATATTAAAATTGAAAGTATTTTTTGTTCAATTGTGATTAAGACTTTTAGGTATTTAATTTTTGCCAAGACAAAATAACCAACACTAACCTGACACGACGATATTTACCTATAACTGATAATTATTTGATTCGTTATCGCGTTGAATTATCTTCATTAACATTGGCAAACTCTTTTATTTTAATCGTTGTTAACCTAATGGTTTTAATGGTTTTATCTACAACGAATTTTATGGGTCATCATTTTCTCATTGTTTTATTAGCACGTGCTGATAATTAAATCGGTAGATTAAAAGTATCACCGAACATTCAAAAAATTAAAAATGTAAAAGTTTATACAAAAGAAAATTGGATAAAAGGTTAAAGGTCTTTWWTTTWWTTTTWAMMMYTTYYTWAMYWWTKSWWTYMAARKTWMMAAMMAWTTTTTTTTTATAAAACTGGATTTCTAATTTTTAAATCAAATTTTAGTTTTTATAGACTAGGTTAATTTTTAAGGTTTATACTGGAAGTGCTATTGTACTGTAATACTTGAGTATTATTGAGGTATCAATTATTCCTAAAATAATAATGCCTTTTAATAGTATATAATATATGATATGTCGATTCGAAATCAATGAATGAGTAGAGTAGTTTGAAATGTAAAAAAATGATTTATAATATTGTTTATACATTTAGAATAATTTAATTATTATGTTATAATAATGCTGAAACATATTTTTTATAAAATGAAAACTAAATAACTAAACAATTTACTAAATTGTTATAACTTATTTTTTTCTCACCTTAGACATTTTTTACTTTTAATTTCTGTCGACTGCAAAATAATCACTCAATATTTTGAAAAAAATGTTGTCAATAATAATATTAAAAACATTATTGTAAGTACTTTATACAAATCAAATGCGGATATTTTTAAGTGTTCAAATTCTAGGTATATTTAATTATTATTAGATATAACATATTGATAAGACAAATCTTAGACATATTAACAATTTATAAAACATAATACTACTTTGGGGCTATCTTTTTTACGTATTATAAGACAATCCTAGGATCATTGGATTTAACAGTTTATATTCAATTTGAATTTATTCATGTTGACACAATAAAAAATTCAGATAAAACTATACCTATAACAAAAATTAAAACGTTTTTAATTAAATATAGTACAATTTAATAACCTTATTGCTGGTAGTTCTATACAGTTTAATAACTTTAAGTAGTTTTATTTATTATCATACACGCACAAGTTGAAAGTTATAAAGTAAATTGCTATTGATGAATTTCAAAGAGCGTGTAAGTCACAAAATCCGTTATATTAACGCTTTCCCATTAGATTACACACACAATTGTATTAACCCGTTGATATCTTCTCTATTGGCCATTGACCTATATCGTTTTCGTTTTTCCTTAATTAACCATTTTAAAAAACGTACAACAACAATTGATGGCGTTCGCGGGGACATGTCCTTTAACGGTCGATGCTTCACCCAAGGTGAAATTTGGTATAAATGGTGTTTTCCCCTTCCTATTTGTAAGCAAAATTCCTCCACCCAAAGAAAGTAAACGGATTCCAAGGAAAATACCGTAATATCGCCAAAATCTTAAAACTAAATACTATCCAGAAGTATATTTATATACCTACCTAGTTTTATTTTTTAAAGAAATTTTAACAAGAAATATTATATCTCTACTATTGCACAAAAATTACAAAAAACAGATCATCTTTCCTCGTTAATATTAAATTTAAATTAACAATAATGAAGGTGAAAGTCAAATATGGTCATAATGAAGAAAGTGGGGATTAGAAAAATATGCTGCTATTAGGTTAAATGCCAACGCCTAATCGATAGGTAGATAAACGTGCTCTTATTACGATTGAAGCCCTTGATTTGATTAAATAAAAAATCATGGTTTTTAATAGGTATAATATTTACAATACTGAGAACCTCTATGAAAATAAAATTATTTATTAATAACTAATCAATAATTTWAAAAAATGCAATGAGTGTAAAAAAATAATTACGTGCTCTAGTCCCAAGACTACTGTTACAGAATAGATGCCTGCTTCAAATAGGTATTATCCTTTTATACACTCAGTCGTTTTAATCACGGTATTCGATTGATATTTTATTAATTTCCCTTGAACTGACATCACAATCAGAAATTTTAATAGTTAATAAATAAAAATAAATATTYCATAAGAGATTTTTAAATTAAATTGTACCAACAAAGGTACACCTATTTTCCTAGTGTTGGAATTTCCAAACACATCGAATTATGACCTCTATATAACTTTATAGGTACAGTCAAAATTCGTATGATGATAACTTAAAGAAAAAATAGTATTTTGGGACACGATTGATTTTGTTCACTATCAGTTTGATATCCCGATTACCACGGCGTTTGCCCAACCGGTTTTAGTGCACGTGTACCGAGCAGTCGTATAATACTTTGTTAACGATTAATTATTTAGTGTTAGCATATATATTGTATATATTTTTTTAATGTAATTAATTGTTACTAAAATTAAATAATTGACTTACCAAAGGCGGTTAAGTAATTCCTCCGTTGGAACTGTTGGGCTGCCAGTGTTGAATCTTAATTCAAAATCAAAAAGACCAAAAACTATGACGGTACATAAAAAATATGTAGGAATATAGTATGTACGATAATAAACTATATAATATTACTGTTTAATGTTTGGTATATATATATATATWAAAAAAAAAAATCTATTTAGTAATATTTTGAAACCGTTTTACGTTTGCAAAAAACACGACACTGCGATCGACAACCGTCCGAAATAGTTTGTAYGGGATATATAATAATATGTTATATACTGTGTAAAAAAAAAAACAACGTTTTTATTAACAACTAAAGGAACAGAACGGCAGAGCGTACGGAGCGCGTGTGACAGACCGAATGCAAGGCGGCCCGGACGGCAGCCACGGCGAGCGTCGCGCCTCGGGGGCTCCGGCCAATATGATGATTGACGTCACAGCCGAGTATACGTCACGAGCGGCAGCACCGTTGCTAGGGGGTTCTGACGTCACGGCGGCCCTCGCGTAGGCGTACACACTCGCACGCCGCGCGCGTCCCGGATGTGTCCCGGGGGCGGTCCTCTCTTCACCGCGGTGGCATAATTTGCCGTGTATCCCATCGTGCGCCCTCCACTCCAAACCACCCCCTCAAAACTACCCTCCCACCAACATACACACACAACCCGCCGCAAAACGCACACCGCGCGATCGGCACAGACTCGTGCGGAATATTTTCGAGCAAGCGGCGGCGGCGGTGAAAACGAAATCCCGTGGCACAACGACTTTGTTATTACATAAAGCCTCCCACGGGGTGGTGGATTTTAAGTCGGAGGCGTTGGGAGGGAGGGGGCGAATGCGAGGGATGAATGATGTCGGTCGCGGTCGGGTCGGTATATACAGCTGCAGAATAAGATAAAATAAAATAAATAAATAAAAACCCATTGCGAGCGAGCTGATGACGTCAAACGTTTTGTACAGGATTCAGGAGGCGAAAACGGCCGACATTGGCGGTCGCCTTGGATGTGGAGGGAGGAAGGGGGGAGGGGAGTAAAGCAACGTGAGCGAGTTATCTGGTATTCTGGTGCATAGTTCAATGCGAATTTTTCATCAAAACACTACACGAYATWATAWWATATATAATGACATGTGTCAGCAACGAAATACAAATAAAAATTCAATTTACATAGTATTTTATAAATTGAAATCTAAGGAGAGCGTTACGATTTGACACAATTTTATTCATAAATGTATTAAAAATTATGAATTGTTTACATGATAACCTTTTTTTTTATCAAGTGTAACTTTTTATTGACACAACAATATGCTATATTTATTTTATTTGTTCAGTTTAACGTTATTCTATAATTGTATTTTTTCTAGATTATTCTTTTACTTATATAATATATAACTATATAAGTACATAATGTATTAGATATACACAGTGCGTACACAGTTTTGAGACAACCATGCTAAATTTAATACTAGTATCTATAATTATGAAATTTTTATACTATTATAATAATTATGAAATTCTGAAAAGTTATTATGATAACACCTAAAAACGTTTTGAATCGCCTCTGTAAAAGAATTGTWCGCGTTAGGCCCGCTTTGTGAAAACATCGGTCTTTTTTTTTT